TTCTATTTCCTTTGTTTCCTCTCTAAATCAACAGTTTCACTCCTTTTCCAAGTGTGTGACTTTCTCAAGAAATCCAGCTAGAAAGTGTTGCCTTGCACATCGGTGGGTGGTTCTGCAGCTTCTGGCTTTAATTTGGCTGGAAGACACCAGCAAAGGTGGACATTTGAATTGATAGCAGAAGTCTTTATTTCTGTCACTGATTCCTAGGGACCTGTTTTGAGCTGTGACTTAGCATAGCCTGGCTGTTGGGTCTGATGTGGTTAGAAGGAGGTCTGGAGAAGAGGTATTTTGGAATCTCACCAAACAACCTTAGAAACTTTTGGAACACTTCGGGAAGATTGTATGAAGATGCAACAAACAAAATACAAACCAAAACTCGAACTAGAGACACTGTAGTAGTTTTTGTGAGAATGTTCCCCATATTCCTGAGGAATCTCCATACTGATTTCCAAAGTGGATGTACAAATTTGCACTCTCACCAGCAATGGAGGAGTGTTCCCCTTTCTCCTCTCTAGCTTAAGCTGCCATTTGTGTTTTTGATTTTAGCCATTCTGACAGGAGTAAGATGATTTCTCAGAGTTGTTTTGATTTGCATTTCGCTAATGGCTAAGGATGTTGAGCACTTTCTTAAGTGTCTCTCAGCCATTTTAGACTCCTCTATTGAGAATTCTCTATTTAGTTCTGTTCCTCACTTTTTAATTGGATCCTTTGGTGTTTTGGAGACTTGCTTCTTGTGTTCTTTGTAAATTTTGGAGATCAACCCTCTGTCAGATGTGGGGTTAGTGGATATCTTTTCCCATTCTGTGGGCTGCCTTTTTGTCTTGTTGACTGTGTCCTTTGACTTACAGAAGCTTCTCAGTTTCAGGAAGTCCCATCTATTAATTGTCGATCTCAGTGCCTGGTATTATGTTCAAGAAGCAGTCTCTTGTACCAATTCGTACAAGGGTACCACCCACTTTCTCCTCTAAGAAGTTCAGTGTGGCTGGATTTATGTTGAGGTCTTTGATCCATTTGGACTTAAGTTTTGTGCATGGTGATAGACATGGATCTATCTGCAGTCTTCTACATGCCAATATCCAGTTATGCCAGCACCATTTGTTGAAGATACTTTCTTTTTTCCATTGTATAATTTTAGCTTCTTTGTGGAAATTCAGGTGTTTGTAGGTGTATGGGTTAATATCAGGGTGTTCAATTTGATTCCATTAGTCTACCTGTCTATTTTTGTGCCAATACCAAGCTGTTTTCAGGACTATAGCTCTATAATAGAGCTTGAAGTCAGGGATGGTGATGCCTCCGGACGTTGCTTTGTTGAGCAGGGTTGTCTTGGCTATCCTGGGTCTTTTTTTCCATATAAAGTTGAGAATTGTTCTTTCAAGGTCTGTGAAGAATTGTGCTAAGATTTTAATGGGGATTGCATTGAATCTGTAGATAGCTTTTGGCAGGATTGCCATTTTTACTATGTTGATCCTACCTATCTAAGAGCATGGGAGATCTTTCCACCTTCTGGTGTCTTCTCTAATTTCTTTCTTTAATGACTCAAAGTTCTTGTGATATAGGTCTTTCACTTGTTTGGTTAGCGTTACCCCAAGGTATTTTATGTTTTTTGTGGTAATTGTAAAGGGTAATGTTTCTCTGATTTCTTTCTTAGCCCTTTTATCATCTGTATATAGTAGGGCTACTGATTTTCTTGAGTTGATCTTGTACCCTGCCACTTTGCTGAAGGTGTTAATCAGCTGTAAGAGGTCCCTGGTAGAGGTTTTTTGGGTCACTTATGTAAACTATCATACCATCTGCAAATAGTGAAAGTTTGACCTCTTCCTTTCCAATTTGTATTCCCTTGATCTCCTTTTGTTGTAGTATTGCTCTAGCTTGAACTTCGAGTACAATATTGAAGAGGTATGGGAGAGGGGACAGCCTTGCCTTGTTCCTGATCTTAGAGTTTCTGTCCATTCAGTTTGATGCTGGCTGTTGGTTTGCTGTATATAGCTTTTATTATGTTAACATAAATTCCTGTTATCCCGAATCTCTCCAAGACCTTTCTCATGAAGGGGTGTTGGATTTTGTCAAAGGTTTTATCAGCATCTAGTGAGATGATCATGTGATTTTTGTTTCTCAGCTTGTTTATAGGGTGGATTACATTGATGGATTTTTGTATGTTGAACCATCCCTGCATCCTTGGGATGAAACCTACTTGATCGTGGTGGATGATTTTTCTGACGTGTTCTTGGATCCAATTTGCCAGTATTTTATTGAGTACTTTTGCGTCAATGTTCATGAGGGATATTGGCCTGAAGTTCTCTTTCTTAGTTGTGTCTTTGTGTGGCTTGGGTATCAAGGTTATTGAAGCCTCGTAAAAAGAGTTTGGCAAAGACCCTTCTGCTTCTATTTCATGGAATACTTTGAGGAGAATTGGAATGAGCTGTTCTTTGAATTTCTGGTAAAATTCTACACTGAGGCCATCTGCCCCTGGGCTTTTTTTTGGTTGGGAGAGTTTTGATGACTGCTTCTATTTCCTTAGGAGTTATAGGACTATTTAAATTGCTTATCTGTTCTTGATTTAATTTTTGTAAGTGATATTTATCCAGAAAATTGTCCATTTCCTTTAAATTTTCGAATTTTGTGCAGTATGGGTTTTCAACATATGACCTGATGATTCTCTGGATTTCTTCACTGTCCATTGTTATTCCCCCTTTTCATTTGGAGAAAGTTTTGTCTATCTTGTTGATTTTCTCAAAGAACCAACTCTTTGTTACATTGATTCTTTGTATTGTTTTCCTAGTTTCTACTTTACTGATTTCAGCTCTCAATTTAATTATTTCTTGGCATCTGCTCCTCTGTGGTGAGTTTGCTTCCTTTTGTTCTAAAGGTTTCAGTTGTGCTGTTATTTCTCTAGTGTGAGTATTCTCCAGTTTCTTCATGTGGGCACTTAGTGCTATGAACTTTCCTCTAAGCAATGCTTTCAAAGTGTCCCATAAGTTTGGGTATGTTTTGTCTTCATTCTCATTGAATTCTAGGAAGACTTTAATTTCTTTTTTATTTCTTCTTTGACCCAGGAATGGTACAATTGCACATTATTCAATTTCCATGAGTTTGCAGGGTTTTTACAATTTGTGTTGTTGTTAAATTCTAACTTTAACGCATGGTGGTCTGATAAGATACATAGAGCTATTTCCAATTTTTCGTACCTGTTGAGGTTTGAAATGTTGCCAAGTATGTGGTCGATTTTTGAGAAGGTTCCATGTGGCACTGAGAAGATGGTATATTCTTTTGTGTTTGGATGGAATGTTCTATAGATGTCTGTTAGACCCAATTGGGTCATAACTTCTATGAGTTCCTGTGTTTTCTTGTTAAGTTTCTATCTGGTAGTCCTGTCTAATAGTGAGAATGGGGTGTTGAAGTCTCCCACTTTAAGTGTGTTAAGTTTTATATGTGATTTGAGTTTTAGTAATGTTTCTTTTACAAACGTGGATATCTTTGTATTTGGGGCATAGATGTTCAGAACTGAGACTTCACCTTGGTCATTTCTCCTGTGATGAGTATGAAATGACCTCCTTCATCTCTTTTGATTGATTCCACTCTTAGGCATATACCCAAAAGATGCCCATTCACACAACACGGAAATCTGTTCCACTATGTTCATAGCAGCACTATTTGTAATAGCCAGATCCTGGAAGCAATCTAGATGCCCCACAACTGAAGAATAGATAGAGAAAATGTGGTACATTTACACAATGGAGTATTAATCAGCAGAAAAAAAACAATGAAATCTTGAAATTTGCAGGCAAATGGATGGCACTAGAAGAAACCATCCTGAGTGAGGTAACCAGTCACAAAAAGACAACAATAGTATGTACTTACTCATATATGGATTTTAGACATGGATCAGCAGAGTGTCAGTCTACAATCTCATTGCCAGTGAGTCTGGGAAACAGGGAGGTTCCCAAGAGAGATATCCATGATACCCCAGAGAAGGGGAATGAGGCAAGATCTCATGAGCAGATAGGGAGCATGGGGGGAGGGGAGAGGGAACAGGGAAAAAGAGAGGGGAAGAAGAGGAGAGGAGAGGAAGATATGGGGGAGCAGTAAGGTTGAGTCAGGGGAAGAATGGAGGAGACCAGGATGAGAGATACCATAATAGATTGAGTCATTATAGGCTTGAGGAGAGCGCTGACACTAGTGAGATTTTCAGAGATCTACAAGGATAACACTAACTGGCAAACTAAGCAATAGTGGAGAGACTACCTTAATTGTCCCTCCCTGATAATGAGATTGATGTCTACCTTATATGCCATCCTAGAACCTTCATCCAGTAATTGATGGAAACAGAGGCAGAATCCCAAAGCTAAACACTGAACTGAACTCCTGGAACCTAGTGACAGAGATGGAGGAATGATGATGAAACCCACAGAGACAGCTGACTGGATAAGGGGGAGCTCTTGGACCCCAGACTGATGGCTGAGAGGCCAGCGTGGGTCTGATCCAGACTGCTCTGAATGTGGGTGTCAGTGAGGAGGCCTCAGCAATCTCTGGGGCCTTGGGTAGTAGAGCAGTGTTTATGCATACGAATGAACTTTGGGAGCCCAATCCATATAGATGGATCTTCTCTCAGCCTGGTCACATGGGGGAGGGCCTAGGCCCTGCCCCAGATGAAGTGACAGGCTCTGGAGGCCCCTCATGGAGGACCTCACCCTCCCAGGGGAATGGTGTAGGGATTGGGTGGGGGGGTTGGGGGGACTGGTAGAGGGACGAGGGAGGAGGGGTGAGAGAGGGTGAGATTAACATGTGAAGCAAGCATGTTTCTAATTTAAATTTAAATTAAAAATATATTGAAAAAAATGTTCCCCATAGACTCTTGTATTTGAAACTTGGCTCCCAGTCGGTTGGCGCTGTTTAGGTAGTGAAGCCTTACAGGAGGACGTATATTGTTGGGGACAGGCTTTGAGGTTAAAGTCTCACACCATTTCTGGTTCATTCTTTCTGCTTTATGCTTGCGTTTGCAGATGGGAGCTCTCGGCTTTCTTCTGCTGCCGCCACGCCTGCTGGAGGCTTGCTGCCGTGCTTCTCTGCCAGGACAGACTTTCTCCTGGAACTGTAAGTCAAACAAACTCTTCCCGTTACAAGTTGCCTTTGGTCATAGTGTTTTAGCACAGTCACAAAAAAAAGGAACTGATACACCCACCTTAGGCTATATGTATGGATCAGTTAGGATGGCCTCCCTTTGGAGGTGGCCTTTCAAGCAAGACAACATAAAGCAGGGGGCCAGACAGAAAAGGGTGGGGGAACAGCATGGTCTTCTCCTGAGGCGGGCTGCAATTGAGGGAACCCCAAAAACAGCTCTGAGAAGGCTTAGGGTATCGAGACCGGTGGAGAAGTTGCAGGAACTCCGGCATTACACTGACCCGCCCCCTGACAACCGGCGGGGCACGCACAGTGCCTTGGCTACATCATTACTACACACTACATTACTCGTTATGGGACTCAGTGCGCATGGGCAGCTCCCTCTTTTTCAGGGACTACCTCCACGTGGTCGCTCTCCCTTATTTCTCTTATCTCTTTTATATCCTACCTTTCTCTCTCGTGTCTGTCTCCCCTCTTCGGTCTCGCTATAATAAACTATGATGGATACATTCTCCATGGCTCATGCTGTATCGCACCGGTCTCGGTTCCGTACCCGCGCTTGTGTCCCCCCTTCCCCCGCCCCTTCTAAGTTCTGATTTCTAATTTCTAACTTAAAACTAGCTAACAACAGTTGTTCTCTTTGAACAAACATGCCTTGATACGTGGGCGGTCACTTAAAGACTTCAAAATAATTTCACCGAAGAGTTACGTTTTCCTACAGCCCAGCTGGCATGGACCTTTCTGACCTTTCTGCATCCCAGTTTTCAACACACACACACACACACACACACACACACACACACACACACACACACACACACACACACACACATTGGTTTTTCGAGACAGGGTTTCTCTGTATTATCTTGGAGGCTGTCCTGGAACTCGCTCTGTAGACCAGGCTGGTCTCGAACTCACAGAGATCTGCCTGCCTCTGCCTCCCGAGTGCTGGGATTAAAGGCTTGCACCACCACCACCAGGCGTCAACAGATATTTTACTTCTTGGTTATGACAAACTTTTGAAAGCGTTATACAGATAATAATTGGGTCCAGGCATGGCCAGGAACACGCACTTGTAATTCCAGCATTTGGGAGGCAGTGTTACCTGCATAGGCATGCTTACAGCCGGGCACTGGCATTCCCAGCAGGTGAGGCTTAGACACCTCAATAGGTCAGTTCAAGAGATCAGCGACAGTGAAAAGCAGAGAAAAAAGATGTACGCAAACGTGCCCATGCTGAGAAGGGGAACGAATGAAGAGAGCCAGTGATTCCCAAGCCCATTTGGGGTCTTGATATGAGCTTTAGGCTTAGATGGAGGGCAAGAGGGATAAATGACTAAGCAATTCTGGTCAAGCTGTGGCCCCGTCCACCACTGGCCCTTCCTTGGAAACAAGTTCCTCCTCCAGCTTTATCCTTTTCTGTCTCCCAGCATGAGATTCCTGGGGAAATTCTAATTTCATGGAGAGCGTGTGTGTGTGTGTGTGTGTGTGTGTGTGTGTGTGTGTGTGTGTGCTGGAAGTCACAAGGAACTTACAGGAATCAGTTTTCTTCTGTCCTGTGGGCAGCATGGATCGAACTCTGGTCATCAGGCTTGGTAGCAGGCTCCTTCACAAGCTGAGTCATCCTGTGAGCCGACCAGTACTTCAATGGCACTTTCGATAGAATAGCTTCATTCCTTCCAAGATTATAGCAAGAAGATGCCTACCCACTTGGAGGCCAGCTTCGTCTACACTATAAATACTAGGCCAGTGTGGGTTACGTAGTAAAACTGTCCTGGCAGAAAAAGACATTCTAAAGAGACACTGTCTCTCAGTTAGACTATCGGATTACTAAACAATGGACCCCAAAGACATGGGAATTTCTCTTCGAGTCTCACATTGAGAGAAGTAAAAGGCTATACCCAGAGAGGAATGGTCTTTCAAATAGAGATTTCACACAGCCCTAACAGCTTGTCGGGTCACCTTCACGATGAGCCAGAAGCCAGGTTAGAGATGGTCAGCGGTGGGCATGACCACAGCTTGACCTGGACTGCCTAGATGTGCGCATCCTGGATCCTCTATTAAACTTCAGTTTCACTTCAGGACCCCAGAAGATGGGCTTGTGGGAGTGGGGTCTGGGGATGTGGTGGTGTGTCATGTCTGCTGCGCGGCCTGTGTCCGAGAACGTGCGGAGGGTGTCGGGTATTGAAAAGACAGAGACTCGTTCAATGATATAAAGAGAACTTTAAACAGGCTCCAAAAAGGTTCAAGAAAAACTTCCTAAGAAAAGCTCCCACCAGAGAAGTTTCTGCTCTCTCCTCTACCCTGGCTGGTTCTGCTCTCACCAGAGGTGGATGTGTGTGGGTTTTTGAAGGTGCGGTTAGTCTCTGGACAAGGTCGAGGTCAGGGCGGTTTCCGTGGGAAGGCCTTTTCCAGGAACTTATTGTATCATTTTTAGTAAACATGTTTTTACTAAACATTGTCTTACAGCTGCCTACTCCCAGGCAGAAGGGGAAGTGGCCAGGAACTTATTGTATCATTTTTAGTAAACATGTTTTTACTAAACATTGTCTTATAGCTGCCTACTCCCAGGCAGAAGGGGAAGTGGGTCTCTGCTCAAGGTCTGGTGTTCCCACAATTCACCCCTTTTTATTTTCAAATGAGGCACTCCTGGCTTAGGTCAAGTAGGGTCACCCTCCCTTTCCCGTCTTTGGGGGACCTTGAACCCCTGTTTTAGGTGGGAGGGGTCTTCCCCACAGGTTGCCCGTCATTGGAGATACCCCAACCTTAAATCATCTGTAACCAACCTTTATGGCTATCGGGATTGCCATGGGCTAAGCTAAGCAATACTTGGTTACGGATCTCTTGTCTCTGGAACAAGGCACGTTTGAGCTTGGCATAAAGCCAGAATGCCTACCGCCACTGCCACCATTTCCAGGACCCCCATTGACATAGCGCCTCTCCATCACCATACCCATCACCAGATCTGGGCCATAACATTCTACCAGCCTTCATCTGTTACAAGGGTAACCCGCATGTGATTTACATTTACAATTTGATAAAGTTTTCAATCGTTTTAAGATCTGCTCAGGAAAGCATTTAGAGAGTGCACTTGCACAGATACATTGGGCACAATCATTGATGTTACACATGTAGCATTATGAAAAATATGAACAATAGTTGTCACATTAGGACAAGTTGCATTTCTCCAGAAAAATACACTGGCCTAGTCATGATTCTAGAAACAGGAACCATCAAGTCTGGTATTTCAAGTGACCATGTCCTGTTTAAATACTGAAAAGAGGCTTTTGCCATTCATAGTCCATATCAATGTCCAAATATTTTAAATGGGTCCTTTTTTCCCCTAAAGGGAAAACTGGCAAAATGAATTCTGTTGTTTTAAGGTGTGTCAAGGGCAGACAGTTAGTCTTTCCAGTTCTTTGTTGGCTTCGGGATGAAAACTCACGGGTCCGGAAGGTTAATGTAGCAGGTCTGTTGAGAAACTGGAAATCTCGAACTGACTGTTTTCTTTGTTTCTTGGGCTGTAGATTTGATGACATCAAGGGTTAGGAACACTGATTTAGGAGATCTCACTCAAACTGGCTTAGGTAGGCTCCCATGGTCTCAGGTCCAGTTTTTTTTCTGCTCCATGTATCTCACTAATTGGTCTGACAGCTGTCGAAGCTTTATTCTTTTCCTACAAGAAAACACAAACATGCCCTCGACCCCAAATTAGGGTCTTCTCCACTGTCTAGTGTATGGATGTCTCCATTTGACCTGAGCAATGGTTGCTCAAGTTCCATCATGTCAGAATCTGTCTGAAGTTCACTGGCATTCACATTATAAAATTTTAAAATGAGGAGTGTATTATTTGATGAGTCATGTGGGGGCTGGGGACATTATTTTCCCTTTTTTATTTTTTAAAAAAATTTTCTTTTTTGAACTGTTGAAGCTGGACCATAACAGTAGAAGGATTTGTCTACCCTCCTTGGTTAACTATCTAGGTAAATTGGGCTTACTAAATAACTTTTGAAAATTATTTGAAGTCTGTGAGCAGTTTTTTCCAATCTAACCTGTAGAACTCTCACTAGCTGACAAGGCCTCATTTGTATCTTAAATTTTTTTGTTAAAACATTAACAGACTGGCTGGATGTTTTTTTTGGCTATATTTAACGCAATCTAGGTAGCTTCTTAATTATTTTTGAAGGGATTTAAGTATCCTTTTAATCATATAATCAGTTTACACTCACGCATTTACAATCACATTTTATACATACCGGTGTGGCCACACCATACATTTAGAACATACATGCATCTTTTAGTCATTCTTTTTCCCTAGGTCATGATTAGTCTGTTGCAATGAAGTTTCCTTAATTGAAATTTATGTAAAAGAACAACTCCAGCCAATCCTTGAACTAAAAAGGTTAAAAAGTCCTATATGTTTTTATCATTCCTCCATTTGAGCTACAGTCATGGGGTACAGCCGTACCTACTCCTTGTAACTCTGTAGATGCAAGGTAGAGAGGCCAGGCTTTTGGCCAAAAGTTTTTAGAGATGACTCACAAAATAGAACTTAAATGTAAACAAAATTTTTTATTCCATATACCTTTGTCTTTGTCTTTTTTTTTAATTAATACCAGTACCAATTTTTTTTTTTGAGTCAGGGTTTCTCTGTATTGTTTGGAGGCTGTCCTGGGACTTGTATAAAGGTGTGTTGGGATTAAAAGCGTATGCCGCTGGGAATCTCTTGGATTCCCCTATTTCCTGACCCTGGTATCAGGCTTAGGAGGGGGAAACTCAGAATGTCTAGTTTTTGACTTTTTAATCTCATTGGCAGTAGCCGCTCCCAATGTATTATTGGTGTTATAAAAATTGATGAACAGGGAGCTGGAATGACTAACTGGCATCAACATGGGGGGGAATCCTCACCAACGCCCATATTTCACTTACCTGAGTGTTTAGCAATGGTTGGATCTTTATCATGGTGAGCATTTC